ATTGAATTTTACTTGTTTTAAAGTGAAATGTTAAAAGTGCATGCAGAAATACATACTTATGCATATATCATGCATGCGCACACTAAAACAAATGCCATTGCTTAAAAAGAAATAAGCTTTCTGTGGCTATGTGATAAACAAGAAGGAGTGGGATTTAGAAATAAACTAATGATGTTGAAGGGAGTTCACGAACATAAGAAAGTGAAATGCTCGTGAGAAATTCTGGAGGAGAAGGAAGGAATTCTTCGATAGAAGCGATGGCAATGGACACACAGCAGACCCTGCCGCATGGGACGCACAGGCTGTGTCCACGGATGCCACCAAAAGGTTTTGGAACTGCCAGCCACATACCCGCTTTATTGTCTAACCTGAGAGTGGGGGGCTCTCACTGACTGGTATGAGTAACTATAGTTGTAAAGAGATATGCGTAAGTCTACAAATCCAATGTGCAATTATAACTGTGGAAATAACTTTGCAAATAACTATGAAGAGACAACCTGTTTCTGAAGCCAAGGAATAAATTCTTGGTTCTTATTGCTTCCACATGGATACCCCATGGGCGGTACAGGCTAAGACTAGAGTCTCCTCCCAATATTTTCTTCTCATAAAGGAAACAGATTTGATTCTGTTGTTGAATGAAAAGTTACCAAGAAGCAAATCTTTCTTTGCCCTCAGACAACAGGGCCCTGTTTATAGAAAACCTTAAAGTATAAACACACAAGAAGAAAAGCTTTTAACAATTCCTTTTTAAAAGTGCAGTAAGATCTCAGCATCTGATATACTAAAAATCAACAGCATTTCAATATGCTAGCAATGGACATTCCAAATTTCCTAAAACTCTACTTTGGTAGTAATGTAACTTGGCAAATTTACTCACAAAACAACTGAATTTTATGCTGAAAAAAAATACTAGTGTCATGTAAATGATCTCTCCATAAAGTCTTTTTAATGTATGTACGTGTGTGAGTGTACGCATGTTCATAATTATATGAATGCCTGTGTAAGCCAGAAGAGGGCTTTGGATCTCCTGGAGCTGGGGTTAGAGGCCTTTGTGAGCTGCCTGGCATGGGTGCTGAGAACTGAACTCAGGCCCTCTACAAGAGCAGTATGCTCCCTTACCAGCTGAGCCATATCTCCTTGAGAGACTTGGGGTTTTTTTTTGGGGGGGGGGGGTAATTTTGGTTTTTGGTAAAATAATGAAGAACATCTTTTCCTCAGAAGAGAGGTTTTACTCAGCACATATGCCCATGTGTGTTGTAATCTCCCATGTCAAACACTTTTGACCTTAAGAATTTTCAGGAAGAGATCAGCCAGTTCGGGTATTTCCAGACCTTTCCAGACAGAAATCAAATGGTCCATTGTTATGCCTAACCCCACCACACACACACACACACACACACACACACACACACACACACACACACACACACACACGACTTTGACAGTCACATTTGGTTACTGTTTAACTAGCAGAGCATCAAACACAGAGGAGTCTGCTTTCAGCAAAACAGGTGACGTGAGAGGTACCGGAGCATCAAAGACAGTTAGAAGCAGTCAGAGTTCTTATTTCTTGGACTGGGGACTTCTCCGTTCCTGAGACCTAGTCAGTACCTCCAACCACGGTGGAGAAACTGCTGCCTTTGGGAACTCAAACCAACAGAACACTCAGAACTCTCCCTACCCCAAGCACCTCTCAGCATCTCTGCAGACACAGATAAAAGCACATTCCTAAAGAGCTGTAAATGATTACTGTAGAAAATCCCAGAGTCTCGTTCCTACCTCAGCCCTTTTTGGCTTTTTAAGCCCCTTCCCCCATTACAATTTAAGTCACATAAACATAAAACATTTTCAGTAACAACTATAAAATATTTAATATTTGGGTGACTAAAACAGGTGGTCAACAGGAAAGAAATCTTTTCCCCAATGACCATACCATCTTGATTGTTCTGGATGTTGGCAGAGCTCAGAAACTCGGGTGAGTATCTGGCTGGGAAGACAGGGTGCTATAAATTTAAAAAGCTCTCCCCACCCCTTTTAAGGCACAGTAGAACTTATGAGATGATTCTGTAGGAGTTAGGTCTGTAGCTATTTTCACTTAACCCTCATTTTGTTATTTTTAATCTACTGATTTTCAAAAATATTTAAAGACTTGCTAAAACAGAATAGTCTTTTGTTATTTTAGGAACACTGAGCCAAGAACTCTAGTTTAAGGGAACTGACTGCTTACGAAGAATAGTCAATGAAAAATGCAGCTTCTTCAAAGGGAGTAAGACTCAGTTTATTCTAAACCAAACATGAGTGACCACGGCCCAGGAACATGGATTCAGGTGACTCAGAATGGGAGCGTCACTATGGAGGGAGTCATAAACATCAACTGAATACGTCCATCAGTGGGGACATTGGCCTAGGGGGGTGACAGCAAAGCATGGACATCTCTTTTATAGCTTTCCGAGGGTCTGCATTCATGCCATCACTCAGCAATCACAGAGTTCCAATCAGTCGCTGGCTCTGCAGAGTCTTCAGCGCAGATGAGCCTTTTTTTAGGGACCTTCTTTCACTATAGTAATGATAATAGGCATAAGAATAGCTGCGACTGTACTAGATCTTGACAGGAACTCATCTTATTGCTAAAAAGCCTCACAGAGAAAACAAAAGACACTTGCTATGGCAACAGGTGGCAGCTCCCTGTATTTCTAGTGTGATGGCACAGTACTGCGCATTCTGATCTGTAGTCCTCTAGTCCTCGTTAAGTGTTCAGGGGAAAAACTACCATCTCTCTTATTTTGTAGATGAAAACAAGGATTTAGGAATAATACTTGCCAAGAGATACTCATAAAAGATGCAGCTAACATCTCAACAGTATCAACCTGTAGAAAAGCAGACCATGGCCTCTGTTCTGTGTGGTACCTAGTGATTCTTTGATGAGAAAGAATACAGCACAAGGGATGCAGGGGCGTCTATATAAAAATCAATTATCACAGTTATCTGTCCAAAAGCTATTTCTACTGTCTTGTGTGAAAAGGTACCACCCTCATCATCTTTGATAACAAACATCTGCCTTCCCCGGAAAAGCCCCCCAAATCTCATTAATGCTATTTTGTGGCTGGAAATTCTTGATGTGTGGCAAGTTAGGAATCACTTCAGATTCAAAATGTTGGCTCAGGAGGAGGGACAGTAAAAGGAAACAGTTCCATGTCTGCAGTGCAAGGCAGGCATGCTGAAAAGGCAGTTTGTTTTTAAAAGGCAGACTGAATGGATTTCAAGATGAAGTAACGACTGTTAAATTAGGCTTTTCATAGCTTGAATAAAGGAAGTTTAATAGTGACCAAATACAATCTCGTTCAAATTTTCTTCTTTTATTTTGGCATTTGTTTCAGAATAGCCAGTTATTTATCTTTTAGTTGGCTCCTAAAATTAAATAAATTGATTTTCAAAGAGAAGGTTTTATTAATTTTTTTTAAATTAAAATAACAATTACATTGTTTTCCCCTTTCCTTTCCTCCCCAACCCCTCCCATGCATACACACACACTCTTATTCTCTCTCAAATTCATGGCCTAAGAGAGAAGGTTTTAATAAGATGATTTCTGTTTCTAACATCTCCACCCACAGTGTGTGTCCTCACAGACTCCAAGACCTAAAGAGTCATTTGGGGTTGCATGTCTTTAGGACCAGGTGAAATGGCAGTCATCCAAGTAATGGGGTCAGCAGAGAGCCAAATAGCTTTTCCTGAATTAGTAGGTGAAAAAAGGGAATGTGGGCACATTAACTTCATGACACAGAGTCCACATTTTGCTGCTGAGTAGACACACGAGTCCCTGGCCCCAGATTTTAACAGTGGAACTCTTTAGGAGTTCCTCCGGAAATTCCCCCAGATTCCTGGCCCTCGTGGGCACAACAGTGAAGCTCATGTGCTCTTAGCGTCTTCCAAACTCTACGCTTTGGGCATGTTGTGTCATCCCCACAAAACCTGGTAGGACACCGATCTCCTGAGAATTCATTGTAAGGAAAAAGGAGTGATTTTAATCTGGCCAGGATATAATACAAGGAATGAGCATTTGTAAAAACTGTTAGAAAGACAATAGAAACAGCTTTTGGAAAGAAGCTGTGAAATTTCTTCTTATACTGATGTGCATGCATAACTTGTGCTACATCCTTCCTCGCCAAAGAATCAGTAGGTACCAAATGAGACCCAGCGCTGCCTCTCTGAGAAAGCTGCCATTTTCAAGGTTTTTTTTTTTTTTTTTTAGTTTTTCAAGACAGGGTTTCTCTGTGTAGCTTTGTGCCTTTCCTAGATCTCGCTCTGTAGACCAGGCTGGCCTCGAACTCACAAAGATCCGCCTGCCTCTGCCTCCCAAGTGCAGGGATTAAAGCTTGGCACCACCACTGCCTGGCACCACTTTCAAGGTTAACTGTCGATGCAAAAACACAACTTCCACCTCAAGGGGAGTAATGAAGAGTTTATTATGCACCAAACATAAGTGGTCATGGCCCAGGAGCATGGCTTCAGGCTACTGCAAATACCATGTTCCAACATGGTAACAGTGTCACAACATATTTTTATAGTTACTCAATAAAACAAAGTCGTAAATCAATGCACTTCTCAAACAGGGGTGACAATGTCACACAGTTGGGAAGGCAAATCCGGAGAGTCCTTGCTACAGGTCTCGGATGGCATCTGACGACATTTTTAGCCTTTGAGTTGGTGGAAGCTAATGATCTGTTAACAACATCCCAAAAGTTTGCATGTTATAGCCCCAAAATGTTAGGTCAGCTATAGAGGTGGACAGTGAAAGGCTGCCAAGGGGACTATGAACAATTCATAATTCAGCTGTGGATTTGTCCCAGTGCATCTGTCCGTAATCAAGTTCTAATCAGTTCATCAGCTTGCAGACTCTTATCACAGATGAAGCTTTTTTTTTTTTTTCTGGGAATTTCATTTCATAGTCATCCAAGCTATTAAATAAAAATTTAAAAAAAAAAAAAAACACCAACAGAAAACACAGCACAAGGCAGGAATCCAGGTTCAAGAATCGGCTGCAGATGCTGCTGCTGCCACTGCCTTCGGCACTCCGGAAGCTAGCAAAGGATGCCGGAAGCCAACTGCAGTATAAGCCTCACCCCGTTGTAGCCTCTGGTTTGCCAGCAGAAAAACAGCCCAGTGAAGCAAGACGATGGCTTCTTCCTATCTGCTTTCCAGATTTCAAACAAATCCATCAAAATGACAGAATCAAAATCTAGCCAATTCCAGCTGCCTTTGGGAAAGGCGTGTTTGTGTTTCCCAGGCACTGCTGGAGAGCGGGAGAATGCAACTAAGCTGCGAAAGCCACATGACTTAGAGAGTACAGTTTTGGCCTGCAAGTGTCCCCCAACATTTGATAGCTGAGGAAACTAAGGCCTGAAGTAAACAGTCAAGGTCACAGCCTGCCATCTGCTCCTGAGCCTGGGCTCTTTACCAGGACGGTCAGATGCCTCACAGGAGTCCAGGGACGAGATGGAAACACCAGTAGGTTTGTTTGCCAAGTGAGAGAATTTCCTGTGCCGATGATGTTGATGATTTTGATGATGATGATGATGATGATGATTTCTCAACAAGGCTTGGAATGTAGGTCGATGGTAGAGTGCTTGCCTAACTTGCACAAGTTCCCTAGGGCTGAGAGAGAAAGAAATTAAGAAAGAAGCTAAGCCTTGATATTTGATGGGACTTCTGTGACTTTTGTAACACTAAGCAAAAAATCCTAAGGGAACTAGAAACGCTCTTGAACTTCACCTTTTGTAAGTCCATTAGTTCAGACATTCGTAGATGTTATTGAGGTAGAAAATTCAGGGATCAAACCCCAAACGAATCTTCATTAATGGCTAAAAAATTCAACCCCCAAATCTCAGAATGCATTGCTAAAATGTCACAAGAAGCCTCTTTCAGAGACAGTGTTACCAAACCTCCAGAAACAATGAGAAAACATTTTTTTTTCCTACCTGTTGGTCCAAAGCTTGTTAGTAGCAGAGTCACCTGCTACAAGCTCATTTTCTCACTTCCTGGATGTCCCTTGGTGCAGCTCTGGTCATTTGGGTTTTGTCAATGGCATTTGTAGGCAGTCATGTGCACACACTACCCACAGGCTGAGCCTCTCTTGTGGTGACTGGACTATTTATGGGCAATTGCGGAGTGACTATGCGGCAGAAGCCTTGGCTTCTCCTGAACAGCTGACAACCACACTGGGCTATTATATGAAAGCAATTTGATTTCACCAACCTAAGGCTCTGTGGCCAGGGGCTATTTGGTCACAGCAGTTAGTTGACTGGGCCTTAGGCTACAGATTTTCTCTAAGGTAAAGAGCTGGCCTATGAGCAGAGGCAGGCCAAGAGGGTTTATATGGGAGTGTGGAAAGGGCGTTACTCCCAGAAGCCTCTATTTCACGGCTCCTTACCCACCTTTGCACCATCAGCAGTCCAGTTCTCAGAAGTTCATTTGACTTGCTGTTCCCTGTGCTTGGCTTCTGCCTCTCAGGTCAAGGCAGAAGCTCTGAACATTACGTTAGAGAGAGGGAAGAAATGAAGGAGTAGAAGGAAAGAGCCTTGCCCACGATCCCTCACCTTTAAACTCTTTAGAAAGTCCCAACCACCAGGGCCCGAGAAATAGCTCAGTGAATACAAGTGCTCATCATGAAAGTATGACACCTCAAGTTCAATGCCCAGATCCCCCTTAAAAAGCAAGATGTAATGGCACACACTTTTTCATCAAGACAGAAGGCTAAGAGAGATTGTCCTGGAAGCTGATAGCCAGCCAGCCTGGAGGACATAACACAGCAGAGAAACCACAAGAGCCACCCTGCCTCTCTTGCGGAAGGTGGATACAAACTTCTGAAAGTTGTTCTCTGACTTGCACACACACAACTCCGTGGACTCCCCGCACACAAAATGCATTACCAAATAGAGAAATATTAAAGGAAATTTCCCCGTCTGGGAGAAGTTCCCCTTGTATATGCTGAAGTCACACTGTTGGGATCTGGTCTCCAGCCCCTGGGGTGGGAACCAGCCCCAAGGGAAGAGGCGACCAGAAAGAAATAAAAACTTTGTCTTCTAGGATCATTGGTGATCAAGGGACAGAGCTAGGAGATGATGGTCTCCCTTTCTGCACCATGAACACATGACCTAGCTAAGCCAGATGTCAGCTTCTTAAGAAGAAAATGCTGGGGTTGGAGAGATGGCTCAGTGGTTAAGAGCACTGTCTGCTCTTCCAGATTTGGTTCCCAGTGCCCATATTACCTGGCTCCCAACCTTGTTCCAAAGTCTCTGCCTCCCTTTTCTGGACCCGGTAGACATTGCATGCATATGGTGCACATACAGACAAACAGACCCACATAAGCAAAATTAATTTCATTTTTTTTAAATTTTTTTTAAAGATTTATTTGTTTATTATGTATACAGTACTCTGCCTGCATATATCCCTGCAGACCAGAAGAGGGCACCAGATCTCATTACAGATGGTTGTGAGCCACCATGTGGTTGCTGGGAACCGAACTCAGGACCTCTGGAAGAGCAGCCAGTGCTCTTAACCTCTGAGCCATCTCTCCAGCCCCTAATTTCATTTTTTTAATTTGTTTTATGTGTATGGGCATTTTGCCTTCATGTCTGTGTACCACAAGAGTGCGCGGCGCCTTCAGAGGCTAAAAGAGGCTTTCAGATCCCCTGGGACTGGATTAACAGATGACTGTGAGATGGGAATCAAACCTGGGTCCTCTGGAAGAGTGGCCAATGCTCACTGAGCCATCTCTCTAGACCCAAAGAGAAGTCAATTTCAAAATTATAAAAAGAAGGAAATGCTGCTAGAGCTCCTTCAAAACTCCATTCCTGTGTTATAGTGGGCATGCTCATTCTAGATCCCTCAGCTTTTCTTAAACTGAACTTCCCCAAGAACATCTTGTTCCCATGCTTTGGAAATTAGTCTTTGTTACGTTATGTAATTGGAAACAATAAAGCTAAGTGCCAGTTTTATTCTTGTGTAAGTTGAAAACTGGACACCCAACCCCACATCTAATCTAGGGCCCCTCAATGACCTCAACAGTAATGACAGGAAACTTTGTATCTATTTTATTACATCACAAGACCTTGTAGAAATGGGGCTTTTAACTTGAAGCTATATGAACTAAATTGACAAGTCTATTTTTTATAGAAATTATATCTGTTCTGTGCAATAATTGATTATCTCAAAGGATAATTGATGTTATTTCATGGTATTTGGAAATTCTGAGTAATAGTCATTTAACATCTTTGATTACATTAAGTGAGATAGATTAATCACCCTGTAAGACTTTCAAAAAGAGGGAAACTTTAAGAAATAGGCTCATTGGAGGCTAGAGAGATGACTCAGCAGTTAAGAGCACTGGCTATTCTTCCAGAGGACCCAGGTTCAATTCCCAGCACCCACATGGTGGCTTATAACCTTCTGTAACTCCAGTTCCAGGGGATCTGATACCCTCTAACAGATGTACATGCAGGCAAAACATCATTCAATGCTTATAAAGTAAAATAAATAAATTTTTAAAGTAAGAAATGGGCTCATTGTTAAAAAGTTATTAATGACAGCTTAACAATCTAGTCAATTAAGAAAGCAAGGCTCCATCCAAGGCCTGGTGAACCCTGAGGACTAGGCCCTCAAGTAGCCTTACTAGCAATAAAGAAAATGGTCATTTATAGTCACCCACATGATCTTAAGCATCCACAGAAAAGTACGACCAAAGATTACAATGACTAGCATATTTCTTTAGCAGTCCAAAGGATTGCACCCCTAGACATTAGGTTTAAAACTATGTGACATGTTATTTACACAACCATTTCTCATTAATTTACACCTTGATAGGAAATTTACTTCCCAGATATAGGACATTATGACCTTGGCTCAGTTTGACTCTCCACCACGTATCTGCAGGCACAAGAGAGTCACTATTGTCTTGACCTAAAAAAAAAAAAAAAATCAAATGGTGATTAACTCTTCCCTGACTCTCTAGAAGCCATCTGGGAGGGACCTCACACTGAGATTCTAGACACTACAACAACTATCAAAGTGCCTGAAAGCAGACCCTAGGTTCACCATTCTTGAGTCCAGTCTTGGAAGACAAAGGAAAAAGCAAGGAGGAGTCCAACAGACAGGTTCTCTTGTGAGCCCATCGAAGGATTCCAGTAGACTTTGACCTGACATTTAAAAATAATCTGTTGTGGCTTCTTTTGGTTCCCTGCCTAGGACTTGCAATATTAATAATTCCTGCCTTTTTACTTCTTTCTCATATCTCTCTTTAGGCACCAGGCATCAGCCAAGGATTTTCATGTCTCCCTACACTTTGCTATTATACAAATGGAACTGCTGACACACTTTCAGGGTCTCCTAGATAGCCCCACTGGAGGGGTTCCTCAACTGCTACACCTGTTGACCCCACTCAGCTCAAAGAAGCCAGGTAGACTGATGCACTGATTCTCTAAATAGCAGTTAGAGTCACCTCTGCAAGCGGTGAAGAAGTGCCAAGAAGAGGAGGCAGACACTATTTAGACAGACTTAGGGAAGGGATCCCCAAGAGCAACAGTTTCAGAAATATCCTTGGTTATCGAACCAGGGATGCCAGAAGGGTGTTGTGGCTTCTTATCTCCTCCTAAATGACCGTCCTACCTAGAAGCTATACATGAGGCTAGGAACTTAAAACTGTAGTCTAGACATTAATTTGTTCTGGTGAATAGCTTTGGAACTGAGTCTCTAGATTGTCATGATGGAAATAGATTGGGTGTATTCCCCAATTTCAGCCCATCTCCTAAATGATTTTACAGTTAACTCCTCAAAAGATGGAATGTTACAGTAGCCATGATTAGGCTCTGTGAGGCCCATTTTAAAACAAAAAACTGGGGGCTGGAGAGATGGCTCAGAGGTTAAGAGCACTGACTGCTCTTCCAGAGGTCCTGAGTTCAATTCCCAGCAACCACATGGTGGCTCACAACCACCTGTAATGAGACCTGGTGCCCTCTTCTGGCCTGCAGTCATATATGCTGTATACATAATAAATAAATAAATCTTTAAAAAAAAAAAAAAAACAAAAAAAAAAACAAAAAAAAAACTGGGTTCTTCTTGTTGTTTTGTTTGTGTGCATGTGTGTATATTTTGTGTGTTTGTTTGTTTTTGTTTTTGTTTTGGCCTGTGGGGAGACATAACATTCCAAACTACCCTAAAACATAAGTGTTAATCCATTTGGGCTGGTTATTCACCTGGCCAAGGTACCACCTCTCAGGAAGATGAGCCCACCTTAAAACATTCTAGAGAGAAAGGTGGAATAATTTGAGATAATGTACTTTTCCTCACAGGAATCCCTATCCCTGGCTCAATCTTACACAGCTTCGTAAGTTTGCACGCTTTAATAAATTACTCAGAAAAGTTAAGTTCTCCTTTTCTTCTTCCTCTCTCTGTCCTAAGCATTCTTTTCTCAACACTTGGGACTTCCTTAATCTTCCTCTAAATGGCCTCTCCCTGTCTTGTCCACCCTGTGGCTGACCTCCATGGCTCAACTTAACTAAATCCGCATGGCTTTCTCTGTCTCCCTCCTTGAGGCAGCTGGTGAGATTTATAGTTTGCCTGCTTCAAAGTTTTTTCTTTTAAACTCCAATAAAATTGTC